ACAGGAATACTGGAGCAGCCAATGGAAAAGAAGGCTTTTATGATCCCAGAGAGAACGGGACAGTCACTGGTATCATTAGTCCAGCTTTCCAAAGAAATTAAGGGGTTTGCAATTACTCTCCAGGTTCTCAAAATACAGGTGGATGGGAGAGCTGCTTTTGCCATTCCTCCTTCTACTGAGCATCAGACTCAGGGGGCCACATCACCCTCTGGCTCTGCCCTTCCTCCATGGAAACTGTCCCCACCTTTTCCAGCAGCAGCAACTCGGAGGTGACACGGGGGCAAGAGATGAGACTGCACCTCACTCAGTGATTTCCCACTGAATCCTCTGGGACAGCCAGGTAGGATGTGGCTGCCAGAGGGACAAGCTCACCTGATTCCTCAGACCTTGCTGGTTTGAAGGACACCTTGGTCTTTAGCAAAGATTTCCTTTAATTTGGGGCGTTTTAGCCTAAAATTGCTTCTGACCATTGACCCACCCTGTGGGCCTGTCAGGTGATCCTGCTCTTGGAATCACAGATTCATGGAATGGTTTGGCTTGGAAGGGACCTTAGGGATCAATCATCCAGTTCCAACCCCCTGCCATGGGCAGGGACACCTTCCACTCTCCCAGATTGCTCCGAGCCTCGTCCAGCCTGGCCTTGGCTCTTCTCCCTCTCGGTGGGACCACATCCTGCTCATACCGAAGAATTTGTCAACACAGCTCAACTTCCAGAGAAACAAGAAAAAAAAAAAAAAAAGAAAAGAAAAGAAAAACAGGAAGAAAATGCATATTTGTGTCCAGAAATTTTTCTCCTGAAGACTTTTGGACAGGGGTTGCGGGTGAATGCGCCTGCGATTTAACGGGCAGAGCAGAGACCGAGGCTGTGTGTGTGTGGAAAGTCAGGCTCTCTCACAAAGCTCTTTCCCATCGTTTGCTCGGCCTGAATCATCAGTTTCTCCCAGATTCCCCAAAGTTTTCTCGCTTTTTGGAAGCGCAGGCTTTCCCCAGCAGTTTGAGCTCCGTGCCCGAAGGAACTGCAAGGCAGTGATTCATCAGGGAGACAACACGTCCCAAACAACTCGAAGGTCAACTGCTTCTTAAGGCAAAACTATTTTGCAGTGATTTATACCCATATCTGGGGAAAAAAAAAAAAAAAAAAAAAGCTCCTCCACGGCTAAAACGGGCAAATCATGGATCGGGAACAACTTCTTCTCCACACTCAAGGGCCCGTCCCAAGGAAACATCACACGCTTCACATCATGTAACAAAATGTAAGTTTTATTCCATGTTATTAGTAATGGATGTGGAATAACCAGTTGAAGAGCTGGACTGATGTCTCCTTCTCCTTTGACTAGCGTTTAATATTCTAACTACAGTCCAAGATGTAACACTGACACTGAAAAATACGTACAGATTCAACCTCATACTCCAAAAATTCCTAGTTCAAATACAGTTAGTACATAATAATAATAATAATAATTAAAAAAATTAACAACAACAATAAAAATAACAATCCCAGACGCTTTGTAACAGCACAGACTGGTTATGGCCTTGAGTTAAGTTCAAGTATTTCCCAGTGGAATGCAATGCAAGCAAGAAGGTAATCTGGCTTTTACTTGGGACATTCCTGGCCCTGAATGGTAAGAAGAGAAATATAAGTGTGGGCACTTCATCTGACCAAGTTTAGCAAGAGAGTCAACATTTACAATTAGTTCAGCTGCAGAGCCAAACCCGTCCTGTGTGTGAACAACACTGCAAACTGTAAAAAAGGAAAAGCAAAGCATTAACTGTACTGTTGGCATTTCTTCCATGGCTGATGCTCCGGGGTTTAACTGAAATTCCTTGAGCTGCTGGTGGAGTTTGGAATGATTCTGATGGGGATTCTGCTCGTGGTTATGCATATTTTGCCTGTCTGTCCTTTTCCTTGCCCAACTGACAGGATAAAGAGCAGGGATTGCTGGTCCTGTCCCCCCCCGAGAGGAGTCATTCCTGCAGAGTCATTAATGCCTTCGTGGCAGTGACTCAGTGGGAAGAGGCAATATCCTAAAGGACTCTGAGGTCACAGAGTGGAGGAGGAAGGGGGGAAGCGAGCAACTCAGTATACAGAGTAATAATAATATCAATAATAATAATCTTTTCTGTTTCTAGGGACTCGTGCTGGCTCAGCTGGGAGCTGGGAGAGCCAGGATCCCTCCCCCGCCCCAGGCTCAGAGGAGCCAGTGGTGCCCTCCAGGCTGGCTGGGACCTCGCAGGAAACTTCGCATCTCTCCCAGACAGCTCACACATTCCTGCTGGGAACGTGCCCTCGTTCTTCAACCCCTGCCAAAACACCTGGAAACCACGGGAAAGCAGGGCTGGAAAGGCTGGTGCTGGTGGATGAGCGGGGCTGGCTGGAGGGAGGGCGGAGGGAGCTGTTACCCCGTGTCCCTAAGCAAGGGGGGTGTATTGATCACCCAACAGTCTGCCCTGGCTCTGGCACTCGTCAATACTGCAATTATTGACTCTCCCCGTGGAAAACAGCGTGTGGAGTGTCCAGTGTGCTGGTGACACCAGCAGGGGAGGGGGCTGTGAACCTGCTGCAGGACCCACAGGTCACCCAGAATCCCAGGATTGGGGTGGCACAAAAAAAAAAAAAAGGGGGTTGAGGGAGGGCAGGAGGGTCCCAAATGTACAAGCACACATCTGGAGAGGGGAGCAACCCCCATGCCTGCAGAGGATGGGGTTTTGGGGAGACCCAGGGTGGCAGATGGATGGATGGGTGGAGAGGAGCAGAGGGGGAAGGTGGCCCCAGGACCAGCACAGCCTGGAAACAAGTCTTCAAACACCCAAAATATGCAGATGTTAAAAGCATGAGACATTCTGCATTGCTGAGGGGAGGACACACCGGGGGTTGCAGTGAGGGGGGTTCACGTCACCCATTAAGGAGTCATTTGATGGTGGCAAGTTGGCAAGAAGATCCATGGTCCTTTCCCAACCCTGCTGCTCCAGGTGCCTCTGAACCTACAGGCACAAAGCCCTGGCATCTCCTTCCATCAGGCACTGACCCCCTGTACCACTGAGGCAGGTCAACCTGCCCTGTAGAGTGGGTTTAATGAGTAGTTCAGATCACTGTGACCAGGTTTGGGGTTTTTTTTTGGCTTAAAATCTGCGCCCTGCTTTCCCCACAGGGAGAGATTTGCCAGGATTGTTTCCTGAAGGAAGAGCAGGGGGGGCACATTCCTCTCCCTGGGTGACTCAGCGGTGAACCTGCAGGTCAGCAGGAGCTGAGGGGCAGATCTGAGTCACTGGGAAATGCTCAGGTCACAGCTGGGGCTGCTATGGGCAGGACATATCCAAAATCCAGACTCCTGCACAGGGGCAGCACTTCCCAGCATGGCGTGGGAAGGACGAGTTTATCCAGGGCTGTGAGATTGCTGCTCATCCAAAAGGAATCAGAAGAACCCAGGCAGCATCCAACCGTGGATCTCCTCAGAGCTTCCACCATCCCCTCGGGATCATGACTTTAAATACACACTGTTTCCCATGGGACACAGGGCTGGGAATAAAAGAGGAGTCACACTGATGTGGAGGACAAGCTTTGTGCCCTTGAATGCCAAAAGAGCGATTTCCACTCGGGAGCACCTCTCTCTCCTTCCCAGCAGCCTGTGCAGGCATTGAGGACATGGGACAGCAGCCCTGTCAGCATCCAGCCTCTCCTGCTCTGCTCAGCACACCCCCAGCCAGGAGAGAACACAAGGACAAACAGCACAGCTGGATATGTTTGTCTCCCCACCACCCCGGTGTGAACTTCCTGAGCCTCTCCTGCAAAGATTCCCAGCAGAAATTTGGGATGGATGTGTGCTACTGCTGCTGATGGGGGGGAAGGATGTGCTGACCCTCCTCCTGGATGCATTTTTGGAGGGGAAGATCTCTAGCAGTGAAAACAAACAGCATTCCAGGCATTTTACCAGTGCCTTCAGCAGGACCAGGAACAAGACTGGAAGTGTTCCCCAGGCTGTTACACAAAACCACACTGACTATTTACAGCTGGATACCTTGTAGGGTGTTTCTTTGCTTCCCTTTTTAATTCCACTTTTTGGCTTGCAGGAGTGTCCTCTAAAGGCATGGAGCAGCTCAGCTGAGGTTCCTAGGAGCTGAAGGGCATATCCAAATCCTCTGCCTGCTCCCCAAAACGGGGAGCCAAAGGGCCTGGACACAACAGGGCATCCTCAAGGCTTCTGGGGACTGATCTCAAGGACGTGACAGTGATGCCCAGCAAGAAATCCTGTAAATCCAATGGATAAGAAAAACTGGCCCCTGGATCTGGATGTGATTTTGGGTGGCTGGCACAGCCCTGAGGGAACAGCTCAGCACAGGGACTGTGTTAGGGAGGATTGACTTCTTTTGTGTTAGGTTTGATCTCGAAGGCTCTGCCTGCTTGGGTTCTCCATGGTGAGGAATCAGCCACAGGATTATTGGGAGGTTGCAAGAGCATCTGCCAAGCCACAGGTATCCTGGGAACATCTCAGGGATCAGACCAGTCTCTGGTAGAGCTGGGCAGCTCCTGCTTTCAGCCTCTGCCACTTGGCAGGAGATGCTCCCTGTGCTCCCAGTGATGAGGTTTTCCTTCTGTAAGGGGAACAAAGCCACAGCCCCAGAGCTGTGCAGGAGATGTGGGATGAAACCACCCTGACAGAGCACATCTCAGCACCAGCAGGAGCCTTGGAGCTCAGCAGCTTTCAATATGCCCCCAGACTACTGTAAGTGCAGGAAAACCACCCTAAACCCCAGCCAAGCTTAAAAAAACTCCCTGTAAACCAAGGAAAAACTTCCTGCTGCCATCCTGGTCCTGTCCCCACCGAAGCCAGATCTCCTGCAAAGCCCCTCAGGAAAATGTGGGAAACCTCCCCGTTGCCCAGGTGAGGCTGGAGGGTGAAAGCCCAACAGCTGCTCCAGGGTGAGCTCAGCTCCAGTAGTCCTGGAGCAGCTGGGTTTTCCCAGGGGAGGTGGAAGGCTGTAAAATGACCAGAGGGTTGATATTACATTTACATATATCTCTCTATGTCTATATTCACACACACACATGTTCATATGTGTCTGTATATTATACGTACATGTACACACACACACCAGAGACACACTATGCATAGATCTGCCTCCTGCCACTATTTATAAGGGTTTGATTCATCAGGAAAACAAACTTACCAACAGAGATCTTCCTTCATTCATCAAAAAAAAACCCAAACACCCAAATTTGCCCAAATTTCCTTGATTAATCAGAAAACCGAGATTTGCCGACGCCGTCCTTCCGACCTCTACTAAAACTCAGCAAATAAAGAAGCCTAAACCCTCCACACTTTTGTTTTCCTGGTTGCATAAAAGGCACTTTCTGATGATGTGAAGCAGCAGTTTTTTAAGAACTCTGTGACTGCAGGGAGCCCCATCACATCTGTAGCAAGTGCTACACAGGCACTGGGAGGATGCGGCGTCGCTGCTCGCTCCTGCTCCGGGGGGTTGGAGCAGATCCCGCTTTTTGCTTCCATGCAGAGGAAGAAAAGATGAAACCTTCAGTGCTGGGCTGTTCTTTGGGCTCTCTGTGTGAGACAGTCCCTGTGTTCCTGCCCCATAACCCAATGTGGGTGCCAGCTCCTGGCTTGCAGCATCCAACAATGCCTTCATGATGCCCTGCGAGAGCCCCTGCCAGTCCAGGCAGGACGCTGTGTCGGGAAGGTCCGTGCAACGTGTCAGTTGTTCTCATATCAGGGGGAATCAGAAATTAATTTGATTAAGGGTGTGTTTAGTAATTAAACGCCGCCTGAACCTGCAGCCCTCGAGCCCTGCCCGTGCAGGAGGGCGGCTGCTCGTGCCAGCCTGACCTCCCTCCTGAGCCCCCAGCAGCTCCATCTCCCCCCACAGCGCATTGTCCATCTCTGCTGGGGGGCTCTGGTGGGGACTGAAGGGGTGGGAGGTGCAGGGGTGGGTTGCTGTTACTCACTGGAGGTTCCCAGCTGGAGAACAAGTCGGAAACAGGGAAGAAATGTCTTTTGTTAACGCCCTGGAAGACAGCACTAAATTGGTCTGAAACTCCTCCTCTCTCGACTTCCACACAAAAACTGTGCCTGTGCCCAGCGAAACAAACACAAGGTGACGCCAAAAACCAGAGACAAACCAAAATAACCCCCACCCACTTATTGCTGCCCCCTCACCTTTCCCACAAAGTTATATCCATACTGACGTCTTTCCGTCCTTACTGCTGGAGCTCCCCTTCTCCAGGGAGGCCTTGGGTTTAGCACCTTGCTTCTCCTGGGCGGTGTTGGCCCTGTTCTGCTCCACCACCGTGCCCCCCGAGGCGGGACTGCTGGTCCTGGAGGGCTGGGTGTTGGCCTGGGTGCTGCTGTAGCTCTGGAACGCGATGTCCAGCTGCTCCTGGGCCACCCTCAGGTGCTTGTGCAGGGTGGACAGGTCCGCCGGCAGGTTCTCGTCGGGGCTGGTGCACTGCTGCTCCTGGGCCACGTTGGCCAAGTTCTGCTCGTGGGCCATCAGGCTGTTGGGGATCTTGGTGGGCTTCTCCGACTTCACCACCAGGTTGTACTCGGGGGGGCAGGAGATGTTCTTGGGGTAGGCGTAGTTGTAGGGCGGCTGCCTGAAGCTGTTGATCTTGCGGTTGCGGATGGCGTCGCGGATGGTGCCGAACCCCAGGTGGAACATCTCGCACATGTTCAGCAGCAGGCACAGGCAGCTCACCACGTACATCACCAGCAGGAAGATGGTCTTCTCCGTCGGCCGGGACACGAAGCAGTCCACGGTGTGAGGGCAGGGCACCCTGTTGCAGACGTAGAACGCCTCCACCTCGAAGCCGTAGAGCAGGTACTGCCCTATCAGGAAGCAGACCTCGAAGGAGGCCCTGGTGAGCAGCTGGAAGACGTAGATCTTCATCAGCCCCTCCTCCTGGATGCGCCTCCTCCCGTCGTGCTTCTGGGGCTCCTTGCTCTTGGGCTTGGCCTTGGCCGTCTCGTGCTCCGCCGCGTCGTCCGAGATCATGGGCTCCTCCTCGTCGACCTCCATCGCGTCCTCCATGTTGCGCACGGCCTGCCAGTTGAGGGCGAACTGCTTCTTCTTCTTGAAGCCCTTGAACTTCTTCTCCTCCTCGGCCGAGCGGGCGATCCTGTGGATGGCGTAGCCCAGGTACATGACGGAAGGGGTGGAGATCACGATGATCTGGAAGACCCAGAACCTGACGTGCGACAGCGGCGCGAAGGCGTCGTAGCAGACGTTGTCGCAGCCCGGCTGCTTCGTGTTGCAGGTGAACTTGCTCTGCTCATCGGAGTAGATGGACTCGCCCCCCACGGCGGTCAGGACGATGCGGAACACGATGAGCACGGTGAGCCAGACCTTCCCCACGAAGGTGGAGTGATTGTGAATCTCTTCTAGCAGGCGGGTGAGGAAGCTCCAGCTCATGTTGGTCATAAGGGCTACTCAGTTATAACCTGCGGGGAAAAAGGGGGGAAATAAAAACCATGGGCTGGCGAGGTCACGTCTTGTATCGGCCACGGGGACCAGGGCAGGGATTGCCCCCCCCGTGCTGGGCACTGGTGAGGCCACACCTTGAACTCTGGGGGCAGTTTTGGGCCCCTCATGACAAGAAGGACATGGAAGGGCTGGGAAGGGAAGGGAACGGAGCTGGGAAGGGGCTGGAGCAGCAGGAGCAGCTGAGGGAGCTGGGGGGGCTCAGCCTGGAGAAAAGGAGGCTCAGGGGGGACCTTCTCCCTCCCTCCAACTCCCTGACAGGAGGTTGTAGCAAGGTGAGGGTCAGGCTCTTCTCCCAGATAACAAGTGAAAGGACAGGAGGAAATTGCCTCAGGTTGCACCAGGGGCAGTGTTCCACTCCAGATTTTGAGCCATAAGCTGCCCAGAGAGGTTACATTTTATTAAAGACTTTTTAAAAGCCTTTTGGTACGTTATAACCCCGAACTCGAGTCTGGAGAACGAGTCACACACTCTTCTGGAAGAGAAATTCTTCTAATTTAATGAGAAAAGCAAGATATTTTGGCAAAAGGTTTTACAGGAGTAAAAACAAAACAAAACAAAACAAAACAAAAACCAAGAAAAAAAATTTCACTGAAACACTCAGCACAAAAACCCACTCCCCAGAAAACACCTACTGCAAACCATCAGTTTACCAGCTTTAGTAAAACACGATTCGTTGGTTTTAAGTTACCCACAAGAGAAGGAAAAAAGAAGAAAAGAGATTAAAAGGGTAAAGAAAGAGAGAAGCAGGGAGAGAGGAAAGGAAAAATGGTTACCAACCAGATGAAGCGGTGGAGTCACCACCCCTGGGAGGCTTTTGAAGGTGTGTGGATGTGGCACTGGGGGACGTGGGTTAGTGGTGAACAGGGTGGTGCTGAGTTGGGCTCGGTGATCTCAGGGGTCTTTTCCAACCCAAACGGTTCTGTGGGATAAACTCACTCAGACAACACGAGTTCAAGGGCCTGAGCTAAAAGCCGGAGCAGAGGGTGCTGCCCACATCACAGAGACTCTGCAATATCCTTTATTAGCAAACCCAGAAAAATGCAAAGAATCGGCGAAAGAATGGGAATATTTATGTTTACAGGCCGATGGCCCTTTTAAGTCCCTTTTGAAGAAAAACAAAACAAAACAAAGCTTTAATCAAATGCAGACTGTTTCAAAAATAAACCTTTCAAAAATAAAGCTTTCAAGAGAAACCCAGGCATTTATTAGAAGACCTGGACAGCTGGGGAGGAAGAGCTTGTAATAACCATTCTGTGTTTAGCTTGACTTGCAGTGGGACCTCAGCCCAAGCTCCTTGGGTGACCCCCAGGCATCACTAAAGACAGGAGGCTTTTTACTGCTTGACTGGCACAGCCCTGACAGATACCTGGAGGTGAGAGTGACAGGGAAAACATCATGGACCCAGAGAGCACTGGAAGGACAGGGAGAGGACAGAGGGAGAGGAGAGGGAGAGGGCTGTTGTCCATGTGTGGAAAGAGTGTGGACATCAAACCTAACCCTCCATGCTAGGTGAGCGTGGCTGAGTGGGGGATGAAGATCTAAGGGGGAAAAATTATCATGGAATCACAGAATCCTTTAATTTTTGGGGTTGGATGGGCTCTTAAAGATCACATTGTTCCAAGCCACGGGCAGGAACACCTTTAACTAGTCCAGGTTGCTCCAATCCCTGTCCAACCTGGCTCAATGATGCCACGAGACTCGAGCATGGCCCCACCTTGGCTTTGCACCGCTGGAGACATAAAACTGTGCCGTGGGGTTTCCACGGCCCAAATCCAGGCTTTGGTCCTGCTGCCCCGTGCCAAGCACAGGGTGGGAGCAGCCCCAGGCACAGCCCCACACGGGAGCAGGAAGGGAAACGTGCCTTGCTCCGTTCTCCACACCAAGGAATGTGGCTTTGCTTTCGGACAGGAGCCAAGAGGGGCTGGTTTGCCCCAGGAGGCAGCACCGTCCCGGCCTCGAGATGCAGCGAAATTCCTGTGCTGTCGAGGGCTCTCGAGAGCAGCAGATGGAATTTTCTAACCCTGCTGTTTCCAGATCAAACGAACCCCCTGCGAACCCAAACCCCCGAGCCTTCACACGCCAGGCTGGGCCCGTGGGAGCTCTGCAGGTGGTGTTGTCCCTGTCCTGCAGCTGGAGAAACTGAGGCAGGGACAACTGCTGGGTGACGAGCCAGAAGAAGAGGTGGGGGAAGTTCTCGTCTCTGCCCTCAGGAGAACGACAGCCCTCAAAGCTGCCAGGACCAAAATCCCCATCTCCTGCCCCGAAAGCGATGCCTTGGACCCAATGGTCAGCACAGAAACACTGTGCAGGTGAACATGGAGAGCAACCCCCACAGACCTGTTCCTTATTTATGGAGGAAATCGGGTTTATTCAGGGGTGAGATGGGAAAACATCCCCTGTGAGCGCCTTTTTTTTGCTTCTTTGCAGTGGGTACCCCCTAAAGTGTCTTTTTTCCTTCCCCTGTTGCGTTCACACTCAAATATGGGCGAAATGGGGTGTTGAATGATTTGTAGGATTAATCCAGGCACTCAGCCAGGCTCCAGCTGACGGGGGGCTGGGAAGGGAAGACCCTGCTGGGTGTGGGACACGGTGCATCCGTCTGTGCAGCACCTGGGTCTGCCCGAGGCTTGAGGACACATCAGCTTCAGCTGCTCAGCCCCCACCACCTCCCACCTGCATCCCCGACTAACTGCAAGCCCCAAATTGTCCTTAAAGACGCACTTCAAGTGTCCTGGAGAGCAGTTCATTCAAAATTCAGGGCTCACCTCAAGGGTTTCCGAGGTTTACACCGAGGATAATTTCCCATTTTATGAGTGTTACTCAAAGACATGATCCCTAAAGTTCCAAGTCACCTCCCAGCTGCTGTTTGATGGGGCTGGGAGAGTCTGACCGAGGTAACCACGGCTTTTGGAGTAAGTATTCAAGTTTTGAACTGGTTGTTAGCAAAGAACCCGCTGTCTCCTCTGGGGGGCACGTTTTAGAAAGGAGCCCCTGAGAGCTCTGGTCCTAAACACTCCCAAACCTCCTGAGCCAAGGAAAAGGGGAAAACAGATAAATAACACAAGTGGAGGGTTGTTGCTTTGGGAAGAACAACTCTGGCCACCAGCTCGAGGTGCTGGTCCTGCCGCTGACACCGCAGCTCAGCCCCCTGTGCACATCTGGATCTGCAGGAACATCTGCAGGGAACAGCCACCAGCTGCCCCTGTGCCCCTGGGACCCCTCTGTGTGGGATCACCCCTGGATGTCACACTCCTGTGTGTGTGCCAGCCCACCCTCCTGGCACTGGATCTGAGAGCAGGAGCTGAAGGGAACGAGTTCAAACCCCTCCTACAACCAGTTCAGTCGAACTTCCACTGCTTTTCGTGGCTCACGGGCTACAAAGTCCACGCTAAGAGATTTCAACACCTTTAATTGCTTAAAGAGTGGGGGGTGAGTGCCCCGTAATAATCTGGGATCAATTATATGGCAAACACGCTTCCAAGGAAAGATTTGTTCTCGGGGCTGATGGATAGGATGCCCCTAGGAAAAGACTGTCTTTTCTCGTCACAGAGCCAACCAGAAAAGCACAGAAAATGGATTTTTACATCTTTCCACATGCTTCCACGAGATCTAATTCCCTCCATGCAGTGGGAAAGTTACACAGCCTGGGGAAAAAAAAACCCCAAACCTGTGTGGATCTGCAGCAGGTAGATGGATTAGATCAGGTGGTTCATGAAGCTCATTATCTACCAAAGACAGGAACCATCATCCCCCTGGCTTTGAAATCCATTCATTCAATCATCCACCTTCACACGTCACCTCCAGACTGGCTGACACGCAGCTCGTGGAACGCTCACAGGGCAAAAGTTTTTCACTCCAGGAGAGCTGCACAGCAGGAAATGGACTGCTCAAACCACCAGAAACTCCTAAAGCAGTCCAAATTATGTGTAGCCAGGTACAGGACTGAGCCTTGGGCTCTGCATTCCCGTCACGGCGACTTCCCAAAACCTGCCGATCCCTCTACGCAACCACAGGCACAACTGTTAGACCCGGGGAAAAAAAAAAAAAAAAAACAAAAAAACCCCACAACTTTACAACCCCAGTTTAAAATAAGCCGAAGGGAGAAAGAAATTGCCCCGCGCTGGCTGGATGCCCTTCCTTTCTACACGGCTGCTTAAACAGCGGGGGAAACAATGGGAGGGGAAAAAAAAAGAAATCAACTTACAGAGACATGGTGCTGCTGGCGGTGGCTCCAGCGACATTCCTGTGCCTTGCCCTGGATAAACTCCCCCTGCCTCGGTCCAGCCCCGCCCCAGCGGCTGGAAAGCGGAGCTCCAGGGAAGTATTTAAGGTGCTGTCGGACCCCGCCTCTGGGGCATCCCCCGCCCGACCCCCGGGCACAACCCCGGAGCGGCTCCCGGCGCTCCTTCCCTCGCCAAGCCCCGGGAGAAGAGGGGAAGGCGCTGTATAAATACACCGGGGAAGAGAGGGGGGCATTGGTCTGAAATCCAAACAAGCCGCCGGGGCTGGCTTTAGGAACGCTGCCTGGAATTCCGACGCCGAGTCGGTTGGAAGTAAATTAATAGCATCGGCTTGTGGCGCTGGTAACGGAGTTGTGAGACAGAGAGCATGACTAACAGGGAACATGTGGAAAACACGCTTTGGCAAAGGTTCCTTGGCTGTTGGGGGCGAAAAAATAATTAAAAAAAAAAAAAAAAAAAAAGAAAAGAGAGAGGGAAGGCTCACTAGTGGGAAAAACCACCCTGGAGCTCCTGCTTTGCTGCTCCCCCAAGCAAAGCTGTCCCTGGAAGAGCTGGTGCTCCTCTCTCTGGGCTGGTGGATGCAGCAGGGAGCAGGTGAAGGGTCTGGGCACGCACTGAGGCTTTCTGGCTTCTTTGCAAGAGCAGTGGTTAACAAGAAGCAGGGTGGGGAAGGCACGTGAAGCCTAAGCCGGGTGGTGTTCAAGGAGAAAACCTCC